AAAAAAACAGAAATTTAAAATTACAAAAAAAAGAGTAAAAATTAATTTTTTTTTTTTAGGGTTGGTGGTGAAGGAAAGAAACTGAAATTTGAAAGAAAAAAAAACCTTTTTAGAGAGAGGGTTGGGATGTGGGGTGGGTTGGTGAGGATGGGGAATAGGGCGGGGAAGGTTGAGAGGGAGTTTTGAAAAATATTTTTTCTTATTTTGATAAGAAAAATATTTTTCTCCAATTAAAGGAAAATGAGTTAATAAGGAAAATATTTTTCAAAATATTTAAACCAATCAAACATAGAAAAATTAAAAAATATTTTCCTTCATACTAAACATACCCTAAAAAAAATAATTTTTGAATTAGTCTATTTCTACGAGTGCATCGATTATAGTTGAGAATGGCGATTAAGAACAAACATAACATAGAAAGAATTTTCCACTTGGAAGAGGAAATTTATTATTGGGTAAATGAGTTACTTCTTGTGTCCCAAAATGAATACTGCTAGTTATTTAAGTTTCTTACTGGTAGTAATTAATTATAAGTGATAAATTTGGCAACCAGTGAATAATTTGACCAGAATGCTTTCGTACTTGTACAGGTTTTCTAGCTCAAAGTGATTTTAAATTATTTGTTGAAATAAACTATCTTCATTTTTGGAACTCAACATATTTTTTCAAATGTTATATTTTTATCTTACAATGTAGTTATTCCTATTTTATTGGTTTTTTAGAAACTTAAAATTGTGTTAGCATGTTGCCAAATCGAAACTTCCTAAAATCTTCGTTTGTTGGAATTGGGATCCCATTTATCATAAACTACTTTAAATTTGTGTTTTTATAATCTATTTTATTCATTATGTTGAAAAGCTCTAATTTCATATGGTCATGAAATTTTTCTTATCCATTTCCAGCTAAACAGTCAACAACTCTTTACAATATTCCTTTTTTATTCAACTATATCCAATTGAAAAGTGGCAATTAAAATAGGATAGAGGAATATGCTTAATTTGTTTCAAACACTCCAACTTAGCGACAAATTATTTTGAAATAGTCCTCTCTTTTTTCCTTTACTTGTTTATTTTTCTTTCATTGGTGATTGAGAGACGGAGAAGGTGGCGACGAGGAGTTTGTACTTGGGAACCACTAAGCTTGTTTGTTCAAACTTTGAGGTTGCAATAATTATATTCTAAGGACAATTAATTATACGATTAGTTCTACTAATATGTTATAATAATTAGATTGAGATCAAATAACTAAGATGCAAGAAATATATTATTAGCCAGCTTTTAACGGACGTTCTCGGGCCAATTAAAGAAAGTAAGATCGTGATACTACCAACTGCTCCTCAAGGGGATTAGATATACATGAATATATGTTGCGGAAGATGGTGGGTTAACTAGCACACAATCACACGTAAAGCAAATAGAGAAGAAAAATTAACACAAGGATTTAACGAGGTTCGGCTAAGCTTAATCCTCAGGGCAGAAGCAGAGAGAGTTTTTCACTATGAATAAGAAGAAAAGCACAATACAATCTATAGAATCTCCAACCACAATCCATATATATAGATCCAAAATAGTCCCAAATCTATAAGAAAAAGGTTTACTAATTTGACAAGGACTATAGGTTTTCCTTTCCCAAATCTATTAGGATAATGGGTTTTCCTAAACCTATAGGGATTATGGGATACAAGAAAATAATCTAAGCCACAAAATAACAAATTTTCCCTTTGGCTTGAATTCACTTTATTAACAAGAACAACATCTCTCTACCTTGTCCTTGGCCCTCACGATGGCTCTACCCATTGCCGTACACATCAACTAAGTCTAGGCAACACCTAAACTTGTTAAGAGACTCGATCTCTTCGGCCATCGCACTAATCCGTCGATTTGGTTATGTACCCGAAATAGCTTCCGGATAGCTATAACACTCAAACGCATCAATGGTCTCTGCAACTGCCAAAGCAAATCCCACAGGATTCATATATCCAAGAAGATTCTCATCAATTATGTTTGCAAACCTTTGCGGTCGGTTGATCTCTCTCTTCTCTCTGCCTGTTGCAATCCTATATAGTTTTTGTTGTGCAAACATTATCATCTTGATCAATATTTTGCACATTCTCCACTTCCTCTACTTTAGAACTACTAGGTTGAGCTAGTGGAGATTCAATTTCTAGCTCTATGCGGTCACTGACACCACGATATGTTTCTGCTATTGCCTTCTTCCTCTGACTATCCAGTGAGGCAGATTCATTGAATGTTACATCCATACTGTTAATTAGTCCTGGAGTCTTTTAATCTTGCACCACAACCTATAGCTTTTCACTCCAGTTGCATACCCTAGAAATATGCACTTCTTTGGCCTCGGCTCAAGTTTTTCATGCCTCACATGAGCATAAGGAGGACAACCAAATATTTTTAAGCTTGAATAATCAGCAAGCGAACCGGACCATACCTCAAAAGGAGTTTTGAACTCAATAGGTGTGGATGGAAATTTGTTGACCAAATAACAAGTTGTATTGATTGTTTCAGCCCAAAAAAACTTGCTAACACATGAGTGTGAAAGCATGCTCTGTTCATACGTTCTGCAATACCATTTTGTTGTGATGTTCTTGTTACACCATGTGCGTCTCAAGGTGACGTAATGAATATGAGACTTGTTAATCATGATTTAAATAATTTTAAAGTCTTAATATGTCTATATATGATGTTTGCATAGAAAATATGAAGTTTGGGAAAATCGGATTAAAGTTGCGGAAAAATCGACTAAGAATTTGCCTTGTATCACAACTTTTTGAGAAATAAATTTCGTATGATATATGAGGTCTTTTGGGACATATTATATATCAAATTGAAGGTCTTAGAATATAGTTTCCAACGATCTTAACCTTTCATTCATACGACACCCGTATAAAAAGTTATAAGCGTTGGAAGAAGGGCCAATCATAGGGTACCAAGTAGCACCTTTTTGACTTTTTTAAAAAATGGGATATTTACATCCCATCTCGTCTCTTTCTCCATTTCTTCAGAGAACACACCCAAATAATACCCCTAACTTTACTCTTAAGCTCTATGCAAGAGTTTCAAATAACATTATTATTCCGGGCACGGAATCAAGAAGCGTTAATATTAAAACAATCCCTATGACGTAAGTATCGCTATATCGCCTCTTTTTTTCTTTGTAGTTTGAGTTTTGGAAGGTACTTCATAGTTAAAAAAATGTGTACTTTCTATATTTAAGTGTCTAAATATCAAAAAATGTTGATAAATTCATTTCCTAATAGTTAGAACTCGCGGGACGATGATCGAAAGTCGTGAGTTCGAGTTATTTGACTTGTAGTGGACTATTTTGTGGGTTGTTTCGTGTTGCCTTTGGGCTGTATATTTTTCTACTGTTTAATGGAGTTTTGGAGGAAAAATTGTGTGGAGAAACACCACATAATGATGGAATGGTGGGCTAGTCGTTCGTCGTTACATTTTTTTTAGTTGTTTGACACTACTTTGGTTGTCGTTTTATGTATGAAGTGATTTGGGTGTGTGGACTATTTTGTGATATATTGCGACGGAGATAAGGTTGGAAAATAATGCTTACATATTGTTATTGTTGGTATATGGTATTGGAGGAGGGCCTAGTTACAGGGGAGATGCTGCCCAAATTTACGTAAACGAGCTACTAGTTTAAGTTGCGGACTTAGCCTTTACTCGTCACTGATTTTAAATCTCCTTATGATGTGGTAGATTGGGTTGCATTGTTTGAAGAATTTCTTGGAAGGTATTAAGGACTCAATGGAGTTAAGGTATGTTAAGGCTATCCCTCCTTTCCTTTTGGCATGATCCATACTGTCACGCCCTAAAACCGTGGAGAGCGACCGACGCTCAACTGAGTGAACCCGACCGAG